GGGATCCCACCGCAACGGCAGAAATTTCAGCTATTTTCTTTGGCTTTCTTAAGGAAAGAGCTCGCTCCAGTTGCGAGTATGCGGCCCAGTGAGGCTCCAAGTTCTATCCCCCCTCCATCCTCATTCCCGAATCTCGACGGGTCATGACGTTCATGTCAAACGTTGCTGGTGATGCCAGGGTCGTCGAGATTGCCGGAAAGTGCCTTTACAGTCCAAGCGGCCTGGTCTGCGCTCTGTCCATTTTGTCAACTTGTCACGTTACCATGGCGATGAGTTGAGAGCGTAGGGTTCCAACCTTCCGTCCTCAGCCGTGCTGTGATTCCTTGGGCTCTGACCAAATCTATGCAGCTCCTTAGTTATGGGAGGAGCCAACCCACTTGTGCAGTCCGCGTCTCTGGTAAAATGGCTCCCTTACCCTGCGGTAGGCCGGAGAAGAAGGGGGGGAATATGCGGAGCGTTCTGGGGGGGGGGGTGGGGAGGCGGGGGAGGAGATGCGGGATGGGGATGGCCGGGATCGGGGCGAGGTGGTTGGGGGGGAAGAGGAGAGTCGGGGTAAGGGTGAGGGTGAGAAATGGGGCGAGGATGAGAGTGAGGTTCAGGGCGAGAGACGGGATGAAGGTGCGGCGCGCGATGAGGGCGAGCGCGATCCTCAAGGCGAGGCAATGCGGACGTCGGAGAGCGAGCAGCCCGGTGAGGCCGCAGGTGAAGGGAAATCAACCAACACCGACGCTAATGGCCTCGGAGACGATCAGTACGCCTCGCAGTCCGCGGACCAGCAGACCACCTACGCTCCGGTTGTCAAGGATAGGCAAGAAGACAAGACGCCGGCTGTGGAGACAACTGTTGCCGCGGAACCCCCCAACGAACACCAAAACGAAGAACCCGAGGAATCACGGGCTGGCGATGAGACCACTGCGCCTGGCGCAGCGGCCCTTAGTGGGCAACAAGAGGAACCCCAAGCCGTGGAGAAAGACATGCCCGACATGGGCACACTCGGCAGCAACGAGCAATCCGAAATCTCCACTGCGGCGAACAATGTGATGGAAACGGCACCCGCTGATGGCGATACGGAGATGGGCGGCGTGGAGGCTGAACGCGGTGAGCTGCCTGAGGACGAACGCCCGCCAACAGCTGACCACGGTCCTGGCGTTGAGTTGCCAAAACCTGGCCAACAGATCCACACGCCAGCCCCGACGACGAGCCACGAGGCGAGTAGTACCGAGAACACCCAGCCGCCCGCTACACAGGCCGAAACCCCCGAGAACCAGAGCGTTGTGCCCATACCCACCGCGGAGGATGTTGAGATGCCTGATGTTCAAGCAGCGCCCGCGAATGCCGCGGTTGAGGGCAGCCATGAACTTCAGTCCCCCTTGGAGATGTCTCACCCAGCACCCGCATACCCCTCTTCATCGTCTTATCTGAGCTCGCGCGACACTACCCCGGAGCTAGGGACTCCCGTATCCATGACCGGGGGTGCTATCCCGCCGGCAACGCCTGGCGAAACCACCGTTTCAGATCTCGTGGACGTGCTGGACGAGGCAGGCGACCTGATCGGGCGGCTCCGGGCGTCTGGGACTGGGAACTCCGTCATGGACCGCTTTTCGCGGCTCCCGGTCAAGCGGCCGGCTCGGATCCGCCCGGGCCGAAAGTTTACCGCTGAGGATCTGGATGCCCTTCCCCGCCCCACACCTGGCGATGCTAGGCCGAATAAGTTCCTCAGCTTCTTCGTCCAGGCCATGGGTGAGATGCAGGCACGGCCGTGCCAGGACTGCTCTTCGAATCACGGTCCGTTTCAGGGATGTGTCATGGTCAGCGGCGACCCGGACTTTGCGCGGTGCGGCAACTGCGAGTGGAATAAGCGAGGCTGTCACGGCGGCAGCGTGGAGCGTCCCTCTAGCTCGCGGCACAGTAACTCGACCAAGTCCCCTCTCAAGTCACCCGGCAAGCCGCAGACACCTGGCACTAGCTTCACGGCTGCTAATAAAGCATCAGCGAGCTATGAAGAGGACCGAACAGGCGGAGACGATGCTGACCACTCGGACGTCGGGATGGGTAGCAAGGAGACCGCCCCCAAAAAAGCGCCGCGGAAATCCCTCCCGGGTAGCAGGAAGCCAACGGCGCCGTCGACTCCCGCGGCTAAGACTGCAGAGACCGACGAGCTCCCCGAGATCAACAAGGAGGTGCTGTGCCTTAAGCACGACGGTGTTGTTTTCACCGACCCACCTATGATGCGCGGCGTGCCCCTGGCCAAGATCTCTCCGGAGCATCCGTATTGGGAGCCTGACTGGAAACCGATTGAGGAGCTTGTTGAACCGGTCCGGCAGAAGCATCAAGAGAAGTACGACCAACTCGACCAGGCGGGCTCGACACACCGCGACAAGCACCTGGCGAACCGAGATGCGAAGCGGGGCCGAATTGTACTCAAGTTTCTAGAGGAGGGCGAGTTACACCCGTACCAGCTCGTCGGAAAGAAGTGGATAAACTATCGGATTACGAACTATGACACGCTATTCCGGCTGGCGCAGCTACTCACAGAAGAGCTGCCTCGAATGGGCCTGGACATCTCACCATCGGAATGGCTCCGGCACCGGCTGCATGAGCTGTATATGGAGAAGGGTGATAAGTTCGACGTGGCAAGCTGGATAGGAAAGGCGTACCACGATCGGAAGATCGAGCAGCTCCGGATAAAGAACGGCTTTCCCCGCGTCGGCAGACCGCCGGCACACGCGACCAGGGCCGCAGAAGCCAGCAGCAGCACCAAGAAGCCGCCACGGTCGCTCAAGCGCAAAGACCCGCACCAGACGCCGGAGTCGACGCCGATCAAGTTGAAGATACCCAGCGCAAGCAAGGCATCGGTATCACCGACCGAAACGCCGGCATCAGCATCGGCCTCAGCAGCCTCGGCCTCAGCAACGGCGACGGCAGCGGCATCAGCAGCAAGCGCAGCCAGTGGGCAGCAAAAGCCGAAAAGGATCAAGATCATTACGAGCCAGCCCGAGTCGACCAGCGAAACCCCATCGTCCGGCAAGCCTAAGATCATCCTGAACAGCCCGTTCCCGCCGTCAGCAACAGGCGAGAAGAAGGCAGCGGCGCAGGGCAAGGAGGCCAAGGATGAAGACAAGTCAACAGGGCTCGAGTACGACGGCTACACGTCGAGCGACTCGATCAGCGAGGACCGGCTGCACCCCAACGACTGGCGGCTGCACCAGGTCAAGACGCGGTCGTTCGCGACGCACCCGGGGGTGACGCAGTACTGGCACTGGGTGACGGAGAAGCAGGGGGACAAGAAGGTGATCGAGCACCAGGTGCTGGAGTCGGTCCAGCCCATCAAGTGGTCCGTCTTTAAGAAACCCTACAACTTCCACCTCAAGCTTGGCGACATCCAGGAGGTCTCGTTTGCCCGCGCCAGCAACAAGGTGGTTGTGACGCACAAGAAAGGCCGCGATGGCAGGGATCTGGGCCCGCGCGGTCATGTCATGGCCCAGTTTAAGCGCGACCGAACCAAGCGGCGGTTTTTGACTTTCTTGAGTCGCGAGAGGGGCGTCAAGGTTGGCGAGGTGAACAAGTATGTATTCGATCCTTTCTTTACTCTACCATGGTTTTCTTGGGCTGTGTTTGGCTGACTATTGTCACAGGGAGGATATGGAAAACATGTGGAACTCATTGTCCCCCGAGACCTTGCCCGGGCCGGACTCGGACTAGATTGGTTGTCTGATACCGCAGAGTAACGGTTGGCCGAGCAGTGGGACAATGGTGAGGATGGGAAACTTGTGGGAAGTCAGCTGAGGCCGGGTTTCAAGGGAGAGGGCCGGGAGGGCCGGGAAGGAAGATGTGATGCGGTGCGTTCGACGCGGCAGTTTTGGTTTCGCACAGCCAGTTTTCACCTGCATGCTTTCTTTTGTAGCCTTTCGTTGTTTTCCTTTGTCTTGTTTTTTTCTCTTGATACCTGATGCTATGGTCTGCTACCGGCATTGGCTTCAGGTCGCTCTCGCTGCTTTCCTTTGGGGTTTGAGACGGCTTTATAGGGGCTTCGGATTTTCCTTGCTGATTCGGGGAAGTATGCTGGGTTCGCGTCGTATTTTAATCAGTAGGTCTCGGGCGAGCAATATTGCCTTGGCGGTGAGATTAATTGAACTGGTTATGTGGCAATAATGTATGTTTATGACTTGCCTCTTGATGATGATTACTTGGGTGCTACAGGGACCAGCTAAATGCACACACTGGAGTTTAGCAACACCCACTGAACCTCCAGGGCTTTTTCAGCGGGCAGTCAGGGGCAATGTCTTGGCAGGAAGTGAATAAAGGCGGTGTGAGGATTATCTCGGCAGAATCCCGGAAGATGCCGCCAAAATTTCCACAGCGCCAGTTGACAACCTCGATTGCGCCGCAGCGAAGCCCGGGCTTATCACTCGACGAAGAACCCAGACCCTCGATATCCCACACCACGGCAACGGCAGCCCGACGTCGCCCACCACCAAGATGCTGTACGAAATGATTGGCATTGTGCGTAGCCGCCTACCAAACCCAACCCCCAACGACCAAGCCAATTACGAACACCACTAACACTCCCCCCTCCCGCATCAGGTCCGCCCGGGCAACCTCAAGGAGGTAAAAGAGTGAGCCGCACCCTCCCTTATTCACCCCACCCCCCCATATCCCATCCAACCACTAACCACTCCCCCTCCCCCCAACCAGAATCGTCCTCACCGCCGGCCAACTGATCCTCCGCCAGGGCGGCGTCATCCGCGACGTCGCCAACTGGGGCGTCTTCCACCTGCCGCGCGCCGTCTCGCTCAACCAGACCCGGCACGTGCGCGGCCACTACTTCGTGCTGCGCTACGATGCCGGCGTCGCCACACACCAGGACGTGGCTCGTACACTGCGCGTTGATCCCCGGGTGATTCGGTCGGGTGGGGTGAAGTTGGGGGATGGGAAGCTGGAGACGCTGAGTCGGTTTGGGGCGGTGGAGTGGAAGAATTTGGAGTGAGTGGGTTGGTTTGGGATGGGGGTCGGAAGTGGTTGTTGTGTATATGGGCGATGGTTGGAAGGCGGGGATCGGGAATGGATGGGATAGCACGGCCGTGGGCAACGGACCAGCACGCGGCGGGCACTTGTTCATGCCGTGATCCGCCTCGACGAGGGTTTACACGGAGGGCGCTGTTGGCCAGGGAAGAAATGCGGGCGGTATCAAGTGCCGGACGGCTCCCACGGCCACGGCAGTGTGTTGGGCTGCATACCACAAGCCGCAGCTCACCCCCAAGTGCCGGGCGGCGGGCGGAGGACTGTACGATACATGCTGTACCAAACAAAGCATAGGCATGCGCAGCCGAGACATGACCACTCGGCTCTCGCATGGAGAAGCACAGTACAGCGGGATGTAAATTACGATACATAACGACATTTTCCACCACAACGTACCACACCGCAGCTGCACTGATGAGACTGACAACACAACATGGTACTGACAGTGACTGGCTCGTCCCCAAGTTGCATCAACAACACCATGCCCAATAATACGAGATCTCGGCCCTACTCAGCGTGGCAATGCCGCGCCGGTCCGATTCGAGACCCTCAAAAAAAGCGACAAAACGCACCACAGCCGACCAGTCGAAGCAGCTGTCCGCCGTTGAGCGTGACCCTCGCCCGGGACCCCCTGACGTAACGTGGTATCGCTCTGACCACAACCCCGCCAATGGGGCGTCGTCAACCACCGATTCCATATGTCGACCACTGGCTGATCGAACATGCTGTCGCGAGTCATAAGCCGGGAGAGGAGAGGGCCAAGAGAATTGCATGAACAAGTCTTGAATTCTAGTCCTGAATGCAAGCCGGCCGAGCAATGCAATGCATGTCCCTAAGCCTTCGCTGTAGTAAACGCCTGGGAGATATAGGTACATTATCTGGATGCCACCCGGAGCGGCCCGACCTCCCACCCTCAGCAGAGGGGGCATGCCCCTGTTCCTATCCCCCATGCATGCCATAGCAGCAGTATCCGCCAGCGATGGGCTGTCTGGATACAAGCATGGCGCCAGAAATCACCGGAACCCCTGCCGCCTTCAGTCTGCTTCCATGACGTCCCCGGGCTTCGTCTCCTTCACGATTCCCTTCTCCCGGCACCACAACACAAAGTCGTCGATGATGCCCGGCCAGGCCTGCTCCTCGGACCAGAAGCCCAGCGTCTCGTCCTTCATGGTCTTGATGGCGAAGAGGCGGGTCTGGGTCCAGAGGTCCTTGCTAACCGTCCGCTTGTACTCGACCTCCTCCTCGCCGTCCTCGTTCGTTTTGACGACGCCGTACTTCTCCCGCAGGTACGCTGTCCACTGCTCCAGCCAGTTGACGTGGGCGGACCGCCACGGGTTGCTGTGGGGCTCGTACAGGCCCTCCCAGAAGCTGACGGCGACGGCCATCGCGACGGCCTTCTGCGGCGGCTCGCGGCCGACCTGGAAGGCGAAATCGTAGAGGGTTTTGAAGTAGTCGTCGTCGGTCAGGGCCTGGGCGACGCGGCTGCGCACGTACTGCTGTTGGCCGTCCCAGTCGGGCGTGACCCGCATGCTGCTGTTAGCGTGACTGCTGGTCTCGGCGATGACGCGGGCCCAGCCGTCGACGAAGCCCGATCGCGTAATGGTGCCGATGGACTCGGCCTTGACGATCTCGAGCACTACGAAGAGCTCGTAGTTGGCCATGTTGACCTCGAGGCGTTCGAGGTAGGCCATGGACTGCTCGGCGCCGATCTCGGAAATCGGCTCTGAGCTCCGCGCTTTCTCCTCCTCTGGTGGGTGGTGAGTTTTCTGGTCTTGGTCTCGAGGTTGGATGTGGCGGGGCTTACCTGGAATGAGATCATCGAAAAACTTGTTCAGCTGCGCTCTCGTTGCTGCTTCCGACTTATTACTGCTGCCGCCATGGTTCTGATTGTCGTTATAATATCTGTAAGGAACACCGTCGTCAGCTTTCCGGCCCGGGCTGAAGGCTAAACGATGAAACAGCTTTGTGAGAGTAGACATTAAGCGACGTGACGTGGGGTCGGACCTTGCCGCCTTTGAGTAGGGTTTGTCTTTGGTCGACTTGGCGGCCTTCTTCTCCTTCGTAGCTTTGGGCATTGTTGGTGTCTTGGTGGCAGGCGACTGTGCTTCTGATGCCGCCTTTCCTTTTCCCTTGCCCGTGGCTTTCATACGTTCTCGTATTGTGAGCCCGGAGGAATGTGGTGACGAGTGTGGAGGAGGCACTAGCGTTGCGTCACTGCTGTCCGTCTCGGTCGACCCTTGGAGGTGGGGTGGCGTTGACTCTGGCCTTTTATTGAAACAAGAATTGAAGAAGCGGCGCATCATGTTGTTCGCCGGAACAGGCGCTGCATCCAGTGCAGTCATGTGCCAAGTAAAAATAATATTGAACAGCAAAATAAAACAGAATTGGAAAGAGCGATGCCCCAAGTATAATCAGATGAAATGAACAATGGGTTCAGCGGGAAGGTGCGGATAAACAAGATGGGGCAATCTGGTTCCACTAGGAGGCTGTTTGGTTTGTTTGAAAGACAATTGGAGAAAGAGCCCGACTTTCCGGCAACAGGAGAACCGCGTTGAAGAAGACAAAAAGACAACCGAGAGAAGCAAGGGATGTCTGGCTCTGGCCACGACGTGCTATATGAGACATGGTGTCGTAATGCCGATCTCATCTTCCAGAACGCTTCCACCACGGCCCTTGCACAGGGTTGTGCGGGACACAGACGCCCCGGAGATGGTTCGGCCGGAGACACCCCGTCTCAGCCGCCGCCGGCCCACTCGGGGTGTGGGGGAGGAGGGAACTCTGCTGCTCTGTCGAGGGCGGAGGCTACGAAAGGGCAGGAGAACGAGCGGGAAAATACCAACTTACTGGTTCAACGCGGCATCCAGATTGTAATTATTGTTTCTCAGGTACTGTCGCATTTCGTCCAACGGTCAGCGCGTGTCATGCAAGGCAAGGATCGCAGGCCCATCGGTATCGGGCCGAAAGAGCACCCCATCGGCGATGCGGTGCGAGAGAGCGCGACGGTAGTGGTATTCGGGAGCACTGCGCGGGGCAGCAAAAGAAAAAGGAGGACAAGAAAGTGAAAATAAAAAGCGAGAGATCACCCACTGCTTGTGCGCTGTCCCTGTTCGCTTTTGTTACCGCCACGAACTGCTCGGCGGCTTGGGTTCGCCTCGTCGAGGTCGCCGGCATTTTGACGGGTTCCTTCGAATGACGGTACTTCGTAGGGCCAAGCAACCCCGGGACGGTGTCGCTAACGATAAGGTAGGTAAGGAGAGAATAGAATAGGTTCGGTCGGAGCGGTCCGAGTCGGTTCGCGGCTTCGCGGGCGGTTCTTGTGGTGGCTCGCAAGATTAGGTCGTGGTTTGGACTTTAGGACTTTAGGTTTCCTGCCAAGGCTGGTTTTCTTGGGCAGAAGAAGAGTCGGTGTTGGTTGCGGTCGAATCGGGTTGCGGGACACGCGATGGGTGGCGGGCCAGGTGCTCCTCTCTCTGCGCGGGGCTGTCAGGTTGGTTGGAGCGGGGCGAGGCTAAATGACGCGAGATGAGGACGCCAGCCTCGCGTCGGAGTCGTCGACCGTCGACTCCTTTTTAATGTTTGGGGGGATGGATATCAATCAGTCGGGCTCGTCCTTTGGGCCAACCAGAAGGTTCTAGAGCGAGAGAAAGCTATGCAGGCGCGAGGCTGAACAACGTCATGGCGGGGGTTGCAGCAGCCATCTGGACCATCCAGACGGGCCGGGGGCCGTGGGCCAGAGATGGACACCGAGATGCAGGCTTGGCATCGCTGGTGGGAAAGCCGAGTTGGTGTTTTGCTTCGCGCTTGCACGATTTTATGACGTCTCGGAAAGCTTAGCAAAAAACAACACATAGGACGACGGTCTGCTGATAGGTCTAAATCTCAAAGCGAACGGCTTGACTATTACCCAGGGTATCGCAATCTCAAACATCCAGCTACCAAAGGTATCCGCTCCTATGCACAGGACAACTTGAATGGAAAGAGAAGAAACGCCGCCAAAGATGATACAATAGCGTCCGTATCAGGAAGAAACGTGCTGCCGCCCCATCAACCGTCACCGCCAACCCCCGTCGCCAACCTCCCTCGTAAGCCTCCTTCGGAAAGTCCATCCCCAAGCTAATCACCAAGGGGCATCCCCTCGAGGCCGTCCAGCAGGCGGCGCCAGTTGTCGGCCAGCAGCTCCGAGTACTTGACCCGCTCCTGGGCCCAATCCTGGTTCCATCGCGAGACGTTATACTGGGTGTGTTGGAAGTAGCTCAGTTCATCTCGCACGCACTCCTGGACGAAGACAGACCGGTTGTGCTGGTTGACGATCGACTCCTTGTCCTGTTTTGTGGTTGCCATGGTTAGTATGAATACGTAAAGGCGCAGGCAGTAGTGTGGAGCACGTAGGGGGGTTTCTCCGGTCCTACCTTGATGATCGCCTCGACAACCTTCTCCACCTCGCCCGGCTTGACCAGGCCCTCAGGCTTCGCCCGCAACGACGACAGCTTCGTCTCGTTCGCCGCAATACGCTTCTCGAGGTAGGGGATGTTGTCCTTGTCGAGGCGCTCGCGGCGGTCAAAGAGCTCGCGCAGGCTGACGAGGGCGTCGCGCTGGCGCTTGAGGTCCTCGAGCACGCCGCTCTCCCAGGCGCGCGCCTCGTCCTCGATCAGCTCTGCGCGGTCCGCAGGTGGCGGCTCATCGCCTGCAGGCCGTCGTTGAGCAGCGGCACGTCGTTGGTGTCGGTCGCGTACGTGTCGGCGCTCGCCTCCGTCAGCGACACGAGCGAGAGTGCCACGCGCGCGTGGTCCGCCGCCACGCCCTCGGACCGCTTGACCAGCCGGTCCATGAGGTTGCACCACGGTGATGTACAAGCTCGGCGCTCCCGCTTCACGCCGGCGCGGGTGCGCGCGAAGAGCTCTTCGAGCGTGGGCGGCAGGGAGTCTTCGAGCCCGGGGGGTAGGGGCCGGCCGGCGAATTCGTCAAGCACCGAGATGGTCGCTTGCTTGCGCCAGACGGCGAGTTCCTGGAGATGCAAGTTGTCAGCCGCTACCTGTGGGTAGAGCTTGGAGCGGATCCACTTACAGTTGGGACCGTGAGGAACATGATGACCAGTTGTTCCTGGCCAAGCACGGGATGGCGGACGAGTGTATTCAGGAACCTTGCCAGGCCGCGGCGCCTTTTTTCTATGAAGGCGCCATCGTTGGATAGGTGGTTGCCGTTGACTGTGACTTGTTAGAAGAACGAGGTTATGAATGGTAGGACAGGAGTGAACCCACCAGCAACCCTCTTCGGCGGCAACAACGGCAGCACCCGGAAGGGGTACCGTTTGTGCAGGCAGTCCAGCAGCCACACAAAATCGCTGTACCGGCGAACGACCTTGCTTCCCCTCCTTGAACTGGTTACCTCGTAGTTGTGGTGCTGGAAAAAGAACACGCCCTCCTTCTCCGGCATTAGTGTCACCAGGACGTGCTCTTCCACAGCCGCTCCGTTCCGACCTCCGCCGATGGTTCTGTTGATGGCTGGCGTCGGGGGCTGGACAGCAGCCGCCTCCTGGGCGACTGCGCTAGGGGGGATGCCGCCAAACGGAGCCGTGGGATGGGACGGCGGCGCGTTGAACTCGGCGGCGGCCGGCGGGTTGGGATCGAGATACCCCCACGCAGTAGGCGCTTCCGTAACCGAGCCAGCACCTGACGGAGGGACGCTAGTTGTAAATGTGGACGTGGTCCGGCGCGGCAAAGTCGCCTGGGGGCTGGTTCCAAAACCACCCCCGTGCAGGGGACCGGCCGATGCAGACCTGTCGTGGCCATTCGGCCGCGGCAGCTCGGGGCCGTGGTTGTGGTTCCTGTGTAGGTCCGGGCTATTCCACGGGTCTTCGGGGTAGTCCATCGATGGCTTTCTGACGCTGCGGTGCCGTGCTGGAGAGGCGGGCTCGGGGGCTCTCGGGGGTGTTGCGGTTTGTTGCGGCGGCTTCGCGGCCAATTCTTCAAGGTGTGGTAGGCCTGGTCTATTCTCGATGAGGCCGTGAAGTGTTGGCTGGGGAAGATCTGGGGATGGGCGCAGCCGGGTTAGCTCCGATAAGGTAACAGCTACAAACCAAGGGCCCACTCGAGCACTCGGATGCACGGCCGGATCTTGAAGCGGACGAGGGAGCTTGTAGGTTGCTTCCGGTAAGGTGGCTCGTGCAACGAGCGCAGGCGCATGGAAACTCGAGATAAAATATGGACGAGAGCGGGGAATAGATGCGTATGTTTACTCACCCCGGCGTCGCTCGTCTACCCCATCGAGACTAACTCCTTCGCCTTCTTGCGCGAGGCCAATCAGGGCGAGCAGCACATTAAATTGATTCCTGTCCAGAGACACTTCTTCGCCGCTGCCGCCCTGCGCAACGATGGCCATTATTCGCGCTTGGGCGTCGGCGCCGAGCTTTGCGGCGGCCAGGGTTCTCGCAACTCCCCCCGCGGTGATGCGCCCTCCGCGGCCATCCTCAGCGACAACCTTGTCAAAGACCACGATGTAGGCATCGGGCACGTCGGAAGCGGGGAGAAGACGGCGAATAACGTCGGCGCGTGTTTGCTGTCTACGGGGCGGCGGCATGTCCCATGGCGAGTCGGAACCAGGGTCATCGTCGGCGAACAAGGCCGAAGTGGTGGACTTGGTCATTGGCGGTTCGTGGTCGAAAAGTGAGGATCTGCTATTGGGGAAGTTGCTCGATCGCAAGTCGGGCGACTCATCTGACGGCGAGCTGCCAAAAAGGGACATATTGTCGTCCATTATCAATTGGCGATTGGACTTTGGGAGTTTAGTTGAGGCGATAAGTCCTGTGTTGGAACGATCGCCGCGAAGTGCCGTTTCGCGCGACACAGCGGGGGTTGCGGCAGCGGGCGGGTTCCAGGCAGAGGGGTGTTGCGACGATGCGCACGTCAGGTCGTGCAAGGCGTAAAACAGACAATAGCGAAGTCAAAGGGGATAGGGGGGCGGACGAAAAAAAAAAGTCCAACAGTTATCAACGCACGAACGAGACCAAGCAGCCAAACGCTTCGAGCTTGGGAGTCGTCGGAGATGTCGTCAGCGCGCGGCAAGCAGGCGAAGGGGGCTGGAGCCAGAAGATGGAACAGCTCCAAACCCCAACAGACAGGGGTAGCTTGCAATTGGAGAACAAGCGCTCGGGCCCCCATCCCCATGCATGCATGAACAAGCCAGGGACGACTTGAGCGACCGACCCAGCACAACTTTAAACTGAGAGACTTAATAGTTACAGTGCGATTTATTTGTACATTGCTCTCTTCCACTCCTTGAGCGTCACCGGGTTTCTCATCTGCTCGAGTGTCACGCTCAAACTCGCCCCCGTCGCTGTCACAGTTCCATGACCAGAGCAAGAGACAAGTCAAAAACGGAGAACAGGATGTGTCCTGAAATTTAGAACAACCTCGCTGCCTGCTCGGCGGCCTTCTCCTTAGACTTGGGCTTGTTCGTGATAGCCGTCTTGCCCGGGACCTTGAAATACAAACTAGGAGACTCTCCCGGCTGCAGCGTGTGGCTCAGGTATCCCCTATGGGCCGGGTCCCGGTAATACTCGATATCCTCACGACTTGTCGGGTCGGGCAAGCGGAAGTAGTGCTTCTTCGTCGTCCTCGCCTTCTCCAACACAGCCTCGACGTGCTCCGGGCCAAAAGGTAGCGGCTTGTCCGTGCTGACACTCTGTCCGTTGACCAGCCGCTTGAGCGAATCTTTCGTGTAGAACCTCGTCGTGATCTTGCCGCCGGCATCCTCGACCGCCTTGATAGCAGAGGCAGACGCCCGGGATACCATGATATCAATTGGAGTCTTTAGCGTCTCTCCGCCGCGAGCGAGTAGCTTTATCCCATCCTTTATCGAGCTACCGATAACGCCCGATTTAATGATTTCGCGGGGGGTGATAGGCTTCTTTGGGTCGAGGCGGCCGGCATCGATCCAGGCCTGGAGTCGGTCGAGGTTCAGCTCCATCATTACAGGCGCACGGCTATATCAATGTGTGAGTATATTGTTTTATATGGAGGGGACAGGCCAAACGTACTGGTTAACGAAGCCCATCTTGCCATGGCTGAAAATCAGGGCGGTTTGACCACCCTGGAACCACGGGTTGAGCTTACCACGCTGGCCCGTACCCTTGTGGCCACGACCAGATGTCTTGCCGTAGCCAGACGAGGGCCCGCGACCCTTCCGAATGCGCTTGTTGTAGGCGCCCTTGTTATCGGAGATGCTGGCGAGGATGGATGCGCTTCGTGTCTGCACCGAGAGGGCGGCAAAGAGGGAGACCAGACTCGTTGGTCTCGCTGAGGCCTCAATCGCCGCAGTACAGCATCGCGCCGCCTGCGCAAGTGGTAATCTGGGGGGCATGGTTGGGTTTGTGGTTGGTTGGAGGGGCGAGTCGAGTCTGGAGGTCGCGGCTCCATCAAAATTTAGATGGTGGCATATTATCGCATGCATTATTGGGCCGAGCGAAGCACAATGGCCCGTGCACTGCAATTGGTGAAATCAAGCACGGGCCATCCAGATCTGGCATCTGATCTAACGGCTATCCATCTCATCCAACTGGTTGCACCCTGGGAGATCTTGGATTATAGATCTTTCGGTTCATGATTCATCACTTCCCGAGCTTCTATACTCGTGCTAGTAATCTATGACGTATAGGTGCGCGACTCCGCTCCTTTTTAATGAGGCTGCTCCTACCCAATGCTCGCGACTTTCTCTCACTCCGCATTCTCTCCTCTTCAACATCATTTCAACCAAAACTTTTGTGTCCAATCAGGTAGGTATTGTGGTCCGACGTTGGCGCCGCGACTGAAAGACAGAGACCTAAATCATTTATTTTCAATTATACCTTACTCGCGACCATGGTCATAAGAACCCCACGGTATCGTATGCATAGGTTCACAATCTCCGACGACGGCGACGATCACTCATGGTTCAGTGTTGAGGTTCAACTCAACATGACTGTCCTCAAATCACGGTATTACTATCAAACTTTTGCAATTCGCCTAAACAAACCTACAAGTCTCGACAGAATCACGCGTTTTTTCGTGCCCATTTCACCGGTCAAAGTACTTGGGTCAAAAACGTAACACTTTCCAATTGCTTCGACTGGGTTGTATTCGCATGTGTCGATGCTTTCAGCGACGCCTCGCCAACTCTACAACCACTCGAGATTGAACAGCTCACCCTAGGTCACTTCTTAGTCGCCACAAATTATATGTAGTGTCGTCTCCACGCGTTCAACGACATCTTGTGTCCAGGAATACTTAGGGGAGTATGTAGGGTGCTTGCGAGCCGTAAAGTAATCGCTCGCTCAGAGTGAGCCGTTGAAAGTCAGCTTAGTTCATTTAAGCTACTTATAGTTGCAAACGTTTCTATATTTGAACAGCTTAGTAGACGAGCCGTCAACCAACCGCTCGTATATAAAACGTTTCCCAAAGACACAGCCGCTCTCTGCGTTAAGCCATTATCGTACCACTTATTGTAAACTAACCATCAATGTCCAGCTCATTGGTATCAAGCTGTATATGGATGTGAGCCGCGTTTTTTGACAAGTGGCTTGTGACAATTGAGCCAGCAGTTACCGACTTATGAGCCATGAGCCGTTTAGTTCCATGAGCCGCTTGTCTCCATGAGCGGCTCCGAGCTCTGAGCCGACAGTGATCGGTTTGAGTCGTGAGCCGCTCTTGCTATAAGCGGTTGCGATAAGGTAAGCCGGTGGGGGACGGCCTTGGCGTCTATCCATGACGGGGATCGGCGTGGCGGCAACTCCTTCTTACTTTCGGTGCGTCGAATTGACTGTTGTGTGGTAAGTGATGCTCTCCTCTCCGAGTCGCTAATGCCGTTGTAGACTGCGAAGTCGTGGCGGTTGACGGCGGTTGCCCCTGATACCATCCATTTACCCCTTTTAGCCGTCGCAGCGTTGCGTCGATGGGGTGCTAGTCGCACGCCGGGCACTGGCAGTCCGATAGGCTGACATGCAGCCCCTGAATATGCTCCTCGGTACCATGATGGTATCCAGCGATGCATCCCGAGTCATAACCCAGAACCACGCCGGATCAGATACACTGTTTGCGGGATATGCAAGTGCCTGGCTGCATGCAGTGCAGCCTGAGTTACGGCTGGCTGGCAGAGAACCTTTGAACCCCTGAATTGGCTGAGTCCCTGAGTGCTGACCTGTAATATGAGTTAGTTGATTTATTCTCGAATTGCGCCCCCCCGTCTGGCTTCTCTCTTGTATGTGCGCCACTCTAGTGCGGTGTCATATAGAAACTAACATGCCGTTAAGTCTTCTTGCTACATTCGAGCCCCCTTGCCCTCGGCGTTCTGGTAAGTGTCACTCTCGAGTCTGTTCCTGTAGTTAGCGGTTTGCAGGGCCTCCAAGGAAGAACGACAGTAACTGACATAGTAGATAGTACAATATGGCCAACTTCTTTGGTGATGGTGCCGACGGTTTGGACCCGTCGCTCCTCGACCCTACCCTGCGTAATGAAACGGTAAGTGGCCCTTATTTGAACCGTTTGTCACGTCGGCAGCATCAGCTGTACTAACCATGCTAATAGCAGATTATCCCAAACACCGTACACATTGTCCCATCATATTCAGCGTGTGTCTCGGTATGAGCTGACAATATAGCCCTCACAGCAGCCAGGCCAGCCCGAACCCTTGGCCGACGCCCGCGTATGCTCCCCTGCTGCTGTTACCAACCCATTTCACCACAGGAATATACTGACACTTTGGGGTAGACCGAGCGCGAGAGGATCTTAGCGTCGAAGAGCTCGATGGATGTCCGACGGGTACGCAAGCGCCCTGCCCCTCCCCGCTTATCCAACGCCGACGACGATGGCGATGACGATGACGAGGCTGCCGCCGCCGAGGTTGCCGAGGATGACGCTCGTGGGCGTAAGCTCACGAGCGTCAGCCTCTGGCAAATCTTTTTATACCACACCCGCCGGCCCGAGAAGGATGAGGAAGTATGTCTTGCTGTCTCGATGTTGATTTCAGTTACTGTTTGTTAGTTGTGATGCAGCTGCTAACTGTGAATTAATTAGGTAGTATATCAAGTCTATATATGGGGAGTCTGTGGACCCCCATGGGCTGGAGTGGGCGAATGCCCGCCAACATTTCTTGGACGACCAGAAGAACTGCAAGTTTCGGGTCATTCACAACATGGAGGTAAGTGTTTACTCATCTAGTTAAGTTAGTATGTAGTATTGAGGTAGATAGTTACTAACGTGGGGCTAGACACTACTTAAAAAGCATGCTCAGCAGCCTGAGTATACTCTCCTGCTCGACACCAGAGTCGATGTCTCCCGCCAGGTCCTGACGCCCCTGGCCCATGCGGCCTGGTCACCAGAGAACTGGACCAAGGTAAGTAAAACTACTAAGTTATTAGTTTCACTACTAATTTTGTATTTAGGTATGGACGTATTTGGTTGGCCGCGTCGATTACGACGGCTCCCATGTTCTTGGCCAGTACTATATGCGTAGTAAGTAGCTATTTAGTAGTATTACCTGATGGAGAGTAACCTGATATAGCAATGTTCCAGAGTCTGGCGGTGGAGGTGGCGGTGTACCTTCGTGTTAAAGCGAAGGATGAGGATCTCGCCCTTGCCCGTCGTCAAGAACTCCTTGAGTTCTATGATGATATGACCAAGAAGCCGCGCAAGTAGTGTCCATCTGCTATTTAATTAGTAAGGTAGCTAACTGGTTATAGAATATAAGGACTTGACAAAGGCCCACTTCAAGGAGGTCTTTGAGCGGCAACGCCGCCAAAAGAAACACAAGAAGAAGGCGGCCAAGACCCAGGTGACTTCAGATTTTATACACGAACCAGCCGCCGCCACGGAGTCGTCCGGAACGCGAGGGGGCAGCTTATGGGCTTGCTATTATATACTGATAAGGAATCAGATGATCCCCTCTCGTTTCTCTAGCGCATACCATGTTTAACGTTGGGAAGAAACGGTGGACCCAATCAACTAAGAATAAATTGGGTGTTCTGCACTAGGCCGGCGATACCTAATGTTCCCATGGAAGTCAATGGCGATACGTGGGTCAATGAGTGCCGGGGCAACCGAACCCGAGGTTGGATTCATCTTGACGAGTTGGGAACGGCGGCGGGGGTTTGCAACTGGCAGGCTTTGGGCGACTCCTGAAGTTCATGGGAAACGATGGGATTGCATTTACTTCACCAAGGTATGACACCGAGCTGCACATACACCCCCAGGAGATGGCTCATTAAATAACATTAGTGCCGTGTCTTATACTCCCAGCCACCTCGTGGCGTTCAGGGGCCCAGGGATCTTTGTCGCATTGCTCTTCACTCGATTCATGGGGGAGGGGGACCGGGGCTCCTCCCTATGACAAAGCGATAGCATGTGATCAACCTCAAGTCCCTACTCCGAAACTCGCGTTTAACGCCTTCGATCAACAGCTGAACCTGCGGTTCCGTGTAGGACCACACTCTGGTAAAGAGGGCCGGGGTATGTGAGGCAACCGACATTTGCATGTGAAGCTGCTCGAAGCGGCCGAGTTCCTTGAGCGCGGGATCCTTCGCCCAGGGCCCGATAGGAATCTGTGAGCACAGTCAACCCGTCAGTCAGTTGATCCGGACGCAGGACACTCCTCGTTGAAAAGAAAAGAAAAGAAAAGCAACGCCAAATCTTGACTCACCCGAATCGTCTTCTCCTCCACATCCTCAAACCCGGCATCAATCATCCACTGCTTATGCTTCCTCGCCACATTAATCGTCTTCCCAAACATGGTGCTCGCCTCATCCAACTTCTCCACCCACTCCCTCGTCCACGGCGCCCTTTCATAACTATCATCATCACTAAAAATCCACGCATCATATTCCTGCATCTCACACCAACCCCCCGGCTTCAAGTTCTGGCGCACCTGGCGATAGAAGTTCGGCCAGGCATCATTCGCCACAGTGCCCGACAGCGCCCGCCCGTGGATGTAATCGAACGCCTCGTCGTCGCGGTACGTCCACTCGTCCTCGTAGTCGTCGACGTGGAACCGGCAGTTGCCCGGCACCCACTCCGGCTGGATCGGCGACAGGTCCACGCCAAACACCGACGCGCGCGGGAACTGATCGGCCATGTCAATCGCCCAGATGCCCGTGCCGCAGCCGAGGTCGAGAATCCGGAAGTCGGACCCATTGGTACTGGTACTGCCGCTGCTGGTGCTGGTGCTGCGTTCGCCGGGTTGGGGGATGTGGAGCGGGGCGGTGTACAGGGCGCCCTGCACGAGGAGCCGCCAGATGTGGTGCTGCAGGTCGAGGCGCTCCTGCTCGGCGTCGTCGTTGGGGAGCACGTATTGCCCGGATCGGTAGGCGTGATAGCGCCGCCCGTTCTCGTACACGTAGTTGGTGATGGAGGAGGTTATGGAGCCGGTGCGGCTCGACCCGGCGAGAGAGCCGTAGGCCGAGTCGCCGTCTGAGTTGTCATCGTCGTCGATGTCGTTCTGTGGGAGGGGGTGGAGGGGGTTTTGTTTAGCGGGATGGTTTCAGAGTAGGGGATCGGTTCTTGGGGGACGGTGTTCGCGGGGTTGTGCTTTTGGTCGGGGGGTGTTTGTTGTGTTGAGAGGTTCAACCTACGTCGACTTGTAGCGGTACGGGAATAACGGCTTGCTGTTGTTCCTCCTGCGGGTGATCATGTTCATGCCCCTGTACTACCCCTGACTCTCGTCCTGGCGACGTCGTCCCCTGACGGGGTTGAGGTTTGCTCGTCGTGGGATCGTTGGACTTGGGGGATGATGCCATGGTTTTTTGATTGCCCATCCCCCGGTTCCTAGCCGAGATCCGTTGATGTCTGATGTCTTGTGGTTCTCCAAGGATGAGAAGTGGGATGGACCCAGTTGATATGGGCCTCGGGACCGGGGTGGCAAAACCAAGCCGCTGGGTCTCCATCTTAACCAATGCTTGGTTCGCGAGCCCAAAACAGTCCGAATCCCGCCGAGCTATCCCGAGTCCATGTCGTCCCACCGTCGTACTGTCGCACCCGCCATGCCCGAATGAGAAACGTGTTCCGCGCCCGAGAGATCCGACCCTACTAGCCCCTTTCCCAAGAACAGAAACGCAGGGGTTTTTGAGGGGTTGGGACGTCTCAACCTATAGACCGGGGCAAGAACCCATCAGGGAGGAAATTGAGGGGACTTCCTCGTGGGAGTGGGTGGGTCTGGATGTGCCAGCTCATGGGACGAGATGATCGTCGAGGTGCGCTTTCCCACCTGCGCGCCTATCTCCTCGTAGCACGTACTGTGTGTAGGACTCGGGCCGGTGTTTACGTGCATCTGTGTTTCACCTCGTGTAGTTTAACTGGAGCAAGCACAACTGGCGCCGTCTTACAAAGGGCAAATCTAGAACCATGGCGTCACCATTCCACAACAGTCACAACACCAACGGCAACACCACCGCCACCAAGAAACTTGTGGTAGTGGTGGGGGCGACGGGAAACCAGGGCGGCTCTGTAGCTCGGCGTTTTCTCCAAGACTCTCGGTTTGCAGTCCGCGGTTTGACGCGCGACCCGTCCTCGGCGGCAGCCAAAGAATTGGCGGCACTCGGTGTCGAGGTGGTGCGCGCCGACCTCGACGATGTTGACTCTCTCAAGACGGCCTTCGCAGGCGCCAACATAATCTTCAGCGTCACCAACTACTGGGAGCCCTTCTTCCGACCCGACGGCCGGGCCAAGGCACAGGAACTCGGCATCACCTGTAGACGGTATGCCTATGATGTGGAGTATCAGCAGGGGAAGAACATTGCCGACGCCGCGGCGACGGTGGTGGATTCGCTGGAAGAGAACGGCCTCCTGGCGTCGACGCTGAGCCATGCCGCCAAATGCAGCAACGGCAAATTCAAGGACTTGTACCACTACGACGCAAAGGCCGATATCTTCCCGGACTATGTTGCGGCGACGCATCCCCAACTGGCGGCCAAGCTGTCCTGCATCCAGACGGGCTTCTTCACGACGAGCCACCGCATCTTGCCGGGCGCGTATTTCAAAAAGGTTAGTCTCCAACCGAATGAGAATGAATAGTTGCTGATTAGGACTGTGGCAACTACCTAGCTCGACGACGGCACCTTTGAGATGTGCTTCCCTTGCAACGCAGACAAGCCCATCCCGCACCTGGACGTCAACGCCGACACGGGCAACTTTGTCTACGCCGTGCACCAGATGCCCCCGGGCAAGCACTACATGGCCGGCGAGTACCTCAGCTGGTCCGAGTTTGCACAGGTCTGGGCCAAGGTCACGGGTGCCACCATCCGCTACCGGGAGATCAGCTTCGACGAGATGGTGAAACAGGTGCCGGACCGTGATCTCGGCATTGAGGTGGGCTTGATGTTTGAGTACAGTTCGGAGCCGGGCTACGACGGCGGGATGGACGTGCTGAAGGCCGAAGATCTGCGCAAGGTTAGCCCCTCTCCCCTACATGCAGCCCCTAAGTTCGTGGCCTTTGCTGACTCGGGTTATTCCACTTCTAGGCCGGGATCGACTGCCCCATGCTGACTGTGGAGGAGTCGCTGGCGCGGCAAGAGTGGGCGGCGGTGTTGAACGGGTGATGGGAATCCTGAATACGTTGGGCAGCGGGTAGTAGCTTCCGGTAATATTGATATATAAAACCAAGTCTACCTAGGTGGCCTCGACATTGATGTGGCTTCCTTGTGTCCCGCTTATTACTTCTATTTTTAGCTGGCCCCTCACATGGCATTGCATCCTCCAGTGCTCCTACTTGAGTCAACAAGCCTCTCTACCGTGGTTAGCAGCATGTCGAGTTCATTCCCATGCCCATTTTCTCACCCGTTAATCCAACCGCTTTTTGCCCCCCTCTCTCCCCCGCCCCATTTCATTAAGGTATTGTGGAGATTCAACCATCTTTCACTGCCACGACATCGCTACTTCAATTCGTTTGGGCATATCTCTAGCAGCGGTTATCAGCAACTTACTCGACCATGCCTCCGTCAACAGTTCAAGGCATTGAAGACCACTCTCTATCCCAAGACAACGTGGCTCCGTTATGGAAGCTCAACGGCTGCCCCTACGCGACTGTAGGGTTGGACCCTTGCATAGACCAGCAAGAGATCCACGAAGCTTATAAGCAATGGTCAAAGTCGGACCCCTCAAGAATGACCGCTTCGCATCCAAATGCGAATGTGTCTGATTTGAAGATACATGAGCAGCAATCATATTCCCTCGTCTCCTGCCTCTTGTCGACGACCACATACTCATGATTAGCTTTCTTGTTTTTATAGGTCGAGCAGGCCTACGCAATCTTAAGAAACCCACTGAGCCGCTATAAATACGGCACAATGGTTGCAACCTAGATAGGTGCGCTCGACGAGTATTGCAAAAACGTGCGTCAGCGCGTACCGCGACTGATCGACGAGGTGGGAAAGGCTGGGAGTATTTGGGGGGAGGCATGCAGAAGGATGGAGACAGCCTAGGACGCTGGCTAGAACGTGTTGCAGCAATCAAAAGCCCAACCTCCTTTACAGGTGCTATATGCCTCCACCGGGGAGTATGCCAATGCCATTGCCTCCTTTCCCCGTCCTGCATCTTGCCAGACGTTGGAGGGGTACGTTGCCTGTTGGCACGCCCGGGATGAATACCGCCAGGAAGCGAGCAACGCGTCCTGGTTGTGGGAGACTTTGCAACGTTGCTAGAAGAAGAGGGACAAGGCAGACGAGGTGCTCAAGGCCGTCGGCGAGAGAACCCGCAGCCTTGGCAGGGAGCTCAACGTGTGCAGGTTATCGTCCTCGCGTCTGTCCAAGATGGGCTGCAGCGTGGAGGTCCGCCGGACAGCGAACGCTGAGGCATCGCAGGCAGGTACTCTGGCCGTACTCTGGCCGCACTGGAGTGGCTGGACGATTCACTCGGTTTAAGCAAGAATTAGCTCAAGTGGTAGCAGTAATCAACAGGCGAGCAGCGTCAATCGAATACCATCTGTTTGCCTGACAGGTTTCATCGTTCCGATTATGCATGGATGGCGAGACGATGCTCGATAGAGGGATGAAGGCGGACAGCGAAATGACGAAGGTGGAATAACTATGTACAAGTAGTGATGTATAACTACATGGATTATGTTCCCTTTTGAGCGCTAGAGGAGCATGTCTGCCGTTGCAAGGCTTCCTGTCAGACGAGGAGCCTGGCTAGCCTGGCTAATTCCCTACCTACACTAGTTAACTATTGGTTAAACAAGATGACAGCCCCCTGTTAACTACCCGGCGTGGCCCCTACTTTTGTAAGCACTAGGAACACCAAGTAAACACAACAGACGAATCTGAGCAAGGTAACCGGTAAAGGATTGAGGCACGGATGAAGGAAGATACCTAGGTAGTGCCGGAAACTGTCTGGCACAGCCGGCCAGCCAGCGCTGCCTCATAACTCTCCCCAAAAAATGCCAAATGGAATTCCCTCATCCCGTCCCCTTTGGGGAAAAAAAAGCCAGTGAAAGCTCGGACAGCGGGAGGGCGGGTCATCTCGCACCCCGGCAGCCACCCGGGGCCCCGGGGGTTGACGTGGTGGGTACCAACGCGATGAGGTCATTCGACTCATTCTGAGCAACGCCACTGAGGGTCAAGGGTTCTCTCGATCCATCAGATGACGGCCAGTTGCTTGGAACCCCTGGTTACATTAAGCGCGGGGAGTTTTTCCTTTTGTAACCGAGTTGTGCCGCACCTCTGACTTCCAGTGTTGTAAAGGCCGTGTTGGGGAGCATGGGGAAGACAGGGGGGCCACGGGGGGGCGGATCGGGGAAGCTCTGGTCGAATACCGGAAACTTAGTTGCGTGAAGCTTGCATTGGTTAGTCCGCCATCCTGCTGAAGCTCAGGCAGCCTCTGGAGCCAAGAATCAACCGGTGAATCAACAGGGTCTTCCCATAACTGACGAACAGCGTCTGCCTATCGTCCATGTCAAACCCTGCTCAGCCCTCCAGCGGTTAAGCAGCCTGGTTACATTGCGCCTCGAAACACCCCAGCCGGCATTGGCGAAAGTCTCCGTGGTCCACCCGAGCCCTCCTGTTGCGGGAGGACCAGTTTCGAGTTCTTGACAAACTACCCATGGCGGGCTCTCGGTCTTTGGAAGGATCCCGGCACTTTATATGAATGCAACATTGTACATGACACGGTACGACGGTGGCCGCGTGGCGTATAGGGTTACTACCACTTCCACTGCGTGCACCATTTGTTATATAACGCACAACCAACCCCCTCTTGGCCGTCCTTTTTGTAGGTTATCGTTAGCCATCGCCTGCTTACGCGACGTGAAGCACCAGTGACAACCACTCTTGGCGAACCCTGAATCTCTGCAGTAACACTGCCCGCCATGTTGCTCGACACAGCTATCCAGAACCTCCCCCAGGTCCTCCGGGCCCTCTTCGTCGCCGTCCCAGTTCTCGTAGGTCCATCCAGTCCAGTCGCCCCCCTCCTTTCTCCCACGCCCCCACGCTCAATACCTCCCTCACCACCATCCCACCTCCTTTTGCGCTGTTACTGGAATATCGAATAGATTTGCCACATCACCGAATGCAACTCCTCGATTGACCATGCACATAACTGCTTTCTTGGGATCGAGAATGTCAGCAGCATGACTTCGTTCTCTCACAAAAGCGCTTTTCCTAACGTGAGCTG